AGGCACCTGTAGTCCCAGCTACTTGGGAGGCTGAGGCAAGAGGATCACTTGAGCCCAAGAGTTTGAGGTTGCTGGGAGGAAAGTGAGACTCTATCTCAAAACAGTGGGATAAAGTTGGGGGGTGGGGTGGGTGGGCAGGAGATGATACTGTGAGGCCTGGAGCTACTTTATAACTGCCCCATGTGGTGGAAACAGAAACAAACTGTCATCTCGGTATTTAAACTACTAATGATGTTTAGGAGAGGGACTTTGGAGGGTGACAGGCGAGGGTTTAAGTTATTTACTCTGACTACCAGTGTTTCCATATGTAAAATGGTAAGGGTAACACCTCAAGGGTTGTAGTAAAGATTAGATAAGAAAATGTCTTTGAAATGCTTAGAGCATACAGGCACCTATGCTAAGTACTTAATAAAAGGAAGCTACTGTTTCCACATTTTTAGTTACCTCCTGTCAACAGCAGTCTGAAAATATTAAGTGAAAAATTCCAGAAATAAGGAATCTATGTTTTGAATTGTGTGCCATTCTGAGCAGGCTGAGATTTCCTCGCAGTCTCCTTCCTTCCCACTCAGGATGTGACTCCTCCCTTCGTTCTGCGGATCCCAGCTGTAGATGTTCCCTGCCTGCTAGTCTCTGGGATCAGACAGGCTGACATTGTGTTGCCGTGCTTGGTTTCAAATTACCTTTATTTTACTTACAATGGTTCCCCAAAGTGTAAGAGTAGTGCGTTTAATTTGTAAATTAAACTTTATCATAGGTGTGTATGCATAGGAAAAAACATAGTATATATAGGGTTTGGTTCTACCCATAGTTTCAGGCATCCAATGGGGATCTTGAAACCCATCCTCTGTGGATGAGGTGGGGCTACTGTACTACAAAGCCCTGTAATCTAATTACTTTGAAAGAGTGCTGGAGCTTAATCAGCAGGTTCTTGGGTCATCAAAGAATTGAAAGACACACCACTAACCAATATGGAGCCAAAAAACCGGACTAGGATGCCTGATACAAGCTCTGGGCTTAGGACTGCTTCCTTGAGAAAAAGGAGCCAGAAAAACATTCTGCTTGCCCCTTCCTGAGCCATCTGGTCCACATACCTTCCAGGGAGGCCCTTCAAGCCACACCAGGGAGTACCCTGGCCAGAGGCTCTGGGTGGACACATCCGTTCCAAG